CGGCACCGGCCCACGCCCGGAACGTCCCGTCAGCACACACTGAAACAACACGGGGGGGAGCGAGAAGCTGCGCCCGGGGAAAGCTGCCGGGCTGCGGCCGCCCCACCGGGGAGAGCGGAGCCGTGACACCGGCCTCCTGCGGCCGCCGGCCCGTCCCACCCCGGCCGGCTGCAGGAGAGCCCTGCTGGAAACACCTGCCCCGAGAAGGGCCGCGCCGCTGAGCCGCCAGCGCTCAGTGTTACAGACAGAAACCGCAGCACCCGCCCTGCACTGCGAAACTGCTCTGAGCTTGAAAGGGCCGAGGGCCGGGGCTGGTGCTGAGCTGGAGCCACGCACAGCAGGCAGGGCCGCAACGGCAGAGGAGGAGGGAGCCACCTTCCCGGATCCTGCCGGGAGCCTCCCAGTAACGGACAGAGAGCACCACTGCACAGCCAGAGCGGCCCCAGAAAAGGGACGTAAAAGATCTGCAACAAGGGCAGGTGGGGAACCCATGGGGAGGGATTTCCAGGCTCCATTCTTTGCTGCTGAACAGATCGCGCCCAATGGATCCAGCAAGAGCCCTCGGCTACCACCATGCTCACGCTGAAAAGTCTGGGGGGCAGCTCTAAGGCCATCTAACGTTATCTGTGCCATGGGACTGTTCTGAGAAGGAATTCCTCTAAACCGAAATGATCTTTCAGAAAAACAGATCTGTCTAAATTAAATTCTTGGTGACCCAGAGGCACCCGGAGCCACGCAGGACTAGCCCTTTGGAAACAGGCACTTAGGACGCGCCTAGCCTCGACTCCCAACCGTGGGAACGTCCCGCTTCTGAGGCCGTGTCTAACGGCCACCGGCTCTCCAAGGTTTAACCGACCCCGAGCCCCTGCGACGCTCTCCTGGAGCACTGCAGAGCTCCGTGCCGCGCCCGAGCGCGACTCGGGGTGGGTTCTCCCCAGTGCCCCCTCACCTCTGCCATCGCCCAGAGGGTCAGCCACAGCCACTCGCCGGGGAACACCCAGGCACCGAGAAGCTGTGATTTCCGCAGGAAGCTTATTCCACTGATAAATTCATCTCCTTTTCAGAAAGAACTGCCCTGTTACCTGCACAAAGTCTGTCTGCCTCCAACTTCTAACCCTGTTACTGCTCTGCTTCCCTCTCAAACAGCCTCTCAGGACCTGGTTCCTTCACCCAGAATTAGATTACAGTGTGCCATCTCATTCACAGGAAGTTTAACACTTTAACTTCCCCTCCAAACTCATTCTGAATTTTCTGTACCTTTTCTAAAAAAAACACCCAGATGCCAGAGCTGGACCCTTGTTCCAGTACTGCCTCATCAGGATCATGCACAGAGCTCAAACTCGCTCCCTGTTCTCTGTAATTCTCCACTTATACTGAGGAAGGTTAATTGCACTGTCCCTCTTGCCAAATAGCAAACTTCTTCCTAAAATGAGCGTTCCACAGCATTAACACTAATTTCAAAGAAATCTACAGTCCCACAATGACTTCTATCAGTCCAATCCATGACACCAAAGAACCGGATGAGGTGGTTTTGCTAAGTCCTGTTTCTCAGCAGCTGTTTCCAGCAAGTGCCCCTGCAACCAGGGGCCCAGTGGCAATTTGGGGGCCAGCACACGGGGGAGCAGAGACACCTGCCTCCTCGCTCCTTCAGCGTGTTCCCTGCGGCCGTGCTGCTGCCTGGGGCGGAGGAGAGGAGCGGGAGGGCAGGGGCAGAGCGGGGGCTGACCCGTGCATGGGGCAGGTGCGGGGACTTGGGCGGGCTCTCACCTCCTGGCATAGTCGTACAAGGCTCGTTTCCGCTCCTGCAAGGACAGATGCCGCTCCACGGGGGACTTTGCAAATTGCTTTGTGGCTGGCTGGAACAGAAAGCACAAGAACCATCAGGAGACAGTTAGACAATGCCAGGAGACCTTCTTAGCAGCTCTGCAAGGACCTGGCACAGCAGTTCAACCTTCAGTTTGAAATGCTCCACTCCCCTGACCACATGGCTAGTCCTGAACATAAGCCACCGTGATCTGGCCGCAAGCCATCAGACCAGAGGAGACAACAAACCACCAGAAGTACCTTGGAAGGCGGCACAGCCACGGAGCCCTGGATGCCAGAAGCAGCTGCAGCCTGGGAGGTAGATGGGACAGGCAGGTCAGGACCAGCCTCCTTGCTTTCAGGGAAGAAGGGTACTCTCCCCTCCAGCAGATTGGCAATGGTGGTATCCACACAGTTGGTTTGGGCTGCAGGGACAGAGGATCTGTTAGAGGGGGAGCCGCCACAGCAGGACACTCACACCCTTGCTGCCACTGTGCACCGCGAGGACGAGGTTTCTGCTTTCAGGTACTGCAGAGATTTGGCACGGAAGGTGACCCCGTGTCCCTGCAAGGAGCCCAGGCCTCGCTTACCCAGGTCTATCCTGATGACCTCCAGAGGCACGTGAGGCAGCACCTCCTTGACCCGCTGAGCCATCGCTGTGATCCGCACATCCTCAGGAGCAGCGCCAGTCAGGCTGGAAGGCACCCTGGGCCTGGCTGCCAGGGGCTGGCTTGAGGCTGTGAGAGAAAGAGCAGTGGGCAGAAGAGGGGGCACAGCCTTCAAGCTGCAACAGCCCCGCTTCCTCTCCCGTGAGCTGGCACGATGAGAAAGCGCACGGTCCTCTCCTGCCAGCCTGGAGCTCGCAGGCAGCCCCCGCTGCCAGGGAGCCTTCTCTTCTGCCTCCACGCAGCAGCTACTGAGGCCTTCCCAAAGGCAAAGTCCCAGTGGCAGTTCAGAGGTAGGACACTACCCAGGACACCCACCTGGGGCAAAGGGGAGAAGCGACGTGTGTCTCAGCCTCTTCATGTGCTCGGTTTTGTCTGCTGCAGTGAGCCGTGTGGATACCACACCCAGCTCCATGGCCAAGAGCTGCAGAAACGCAGAGAAGAGCCACATGTACACGACACCCAACACGCACGACCCAGACATTCCCATCTCGCAGGGGAGTGTATCAGATGTACAGGCCTGCGTGGAGCCACGGCGAGGGCAAGAGGACTGGGAACTGATTTCTCCAGGGCCTCAGTGATGCCTTTCAGTGTCGCATGGAGCACATGAAGGACCAGGAGCAGGCAATATCATCCTGCCAAGACAGGCTGACAGGGAGATACAAGATCTTTGGTACAGGAGCTATGAGGTACCCAGCACATAAGGGAAAGGTGGAGAAACAACTGCTTTACGTGGTTTGCGGGACTGTGAAAAGGGAGCGAAAGGTTTGAACTAGATGGGGAGAGCCTTGGTAACTGGCAGAAATGGGAGGTGGCAAATTAGCCAGGGAAAACCTGAGTAATTGTAAGGGGCAATAAACATGGGCCAGAGTTCCCATCGTAGAAATACACCCATCCAGAAACGCCCTTTGCAACTCTGCTTGCACCCCCTCTCCTCTGTGACCATCCCAAGTTGCAGTAGTCCTACACATCCCTCTCCCACATCATCCTCCTACCTCCTGAACTCGGAGCGCAAAATCCTCACTCAGTTCTTCAGCTCGTCTGGGGACAGACGGCATCCACCTGAATGGGGACAACAGCACTGGGCTGACTGCTCCTCGGGCTGCTGGGGGAGCCAGCCCCCTCTGGCATCAGTCGTGCAACGCTGCTATCCCCACCTCAGCTCTCCCTGCTCACCCCAAACCTCTCCCCGTGAGATGAGTGTCAAACCTCAACACCAGCTTGCAAAAATAAGGGCAAGGCACAGCTCAGCAGACAAAACTGGCTCACTGAAACTTTAGTAGCACTCAAGCATTAAGTATCTCCTAATGAAGTTCCCAGAGAGGCCCCAGATAAGGAGACACTGCTGTTAACATGAAAGGAGAAAACGGATCAGCAAGACTCGAGCCAGATACGGCTGGGGAAAGCTACAGCACAAGACTTGACTGAAATACCCCGATGCCTAAATTTGATTCCAAGCCCCTTCTGCTGCCATGGACCCTTACGATGCCAAAGCTACACAGCCAGTCTGGGCTCAGCTGGGCCCTAGGCAGGTGTCTGAACTACCTCTGCGACTCCAAGGGATCACAGGGAACAGACAGACGCTGGAGGACTGAGCTGTCAGCAGGGAATCACCCGCAGGACCCCAGCAACCCTGGGGTGAGTTACAGCAGAGCAGCTAGCTTCAAAAATAAACCTGGCAAACTCAACATAAAAGCCCCAAGAGACTCCTCTTCTTCAGCAACTGAACACAGGAACCAAGAGCCCTCTCCGCTTCAGAAGCTGGACCTGGCACAGACCAAATCCCACTGAACAAAGCCATGCCGAGACACCGCAGCGAGGGCGCGTGGTAGCGCCTACCAAAAGATCTCTTCCTACAACGGCAAAAATGTCAGGCACTCTGCCCCCCCCCCGAGCTCTGCCCCATATGAAAGAGAGAGAGAGATAGTACCTTACTTGATAAACTGTGAAGGGAACAAAGAAGGTCCAGAGCAGCTCTGTAATCCAGGAGGAGTCAGCCACACTCTGGGGAAGAGAGCAGAGTGAGAGCGCGGCCCCCGGCACGCGGGCAGGCCGGTCTCTGTTGGGGAGGTGGTGGGTGGGACACGGCTGAGCCCCATGGTGACCCAGCGGGTGATGGGTACGCAGGCAGGGAGAGGCAGAGGCTGGACAAGAGGAAATGGCAAACCCACTGCAGCGAGAGCAAGGCCCCACCTGCACCAGCAGGGTGAGAGAGGCAGTTTTCACTGCCTCGAGTCATCCCCAACAGGACAGCAAGACTTCCCTTTAATATCCCCACCTTCTCTACCAGACCATGCCTTTAGAACGGGCTGAAAATGCCTTGAGACCTACTAAGGCTTCCTTAGATCACAAACAATCCTCTCTTATTCTGATGGGAATGGCCCGTGTAACGCCTCAACTCCTGTAAGCTTTATCTTTTCATTTCCAAACAGGCTGCACTGCACAGGCTTAAACAACTCTTCTCTTTGGAGATCAGTCATTAAAGGTGAGCGGTAATTTATTACTTTCTTCTTTTTCCTAAAAATAAGTACATCAACTTTTCCCTAGCAAGTACCACGACCAGTAGCACTGGCAGAGACGCCCCAGCATGGGGTCTCTGCCAGTCTCAGCAGGACACGGTGCCGAGCAGCCGGCCCAGACACAGGCAGGAGCAGAAAGCTGAGCTGAAGAGCTCCAGAGTCCCCTCCACCTCTGCTCTTCAGTGATTCCAGAGAATTCCCTATGGAATGTTCCTAGGGTTTTGCAGCTGGTTACTTTTACCCTGCAGCAACCATGCTTTCCACAAGCTGGTGATAACTCCACCTCAATACCTGCAGCTCACAATGCAGCTGCCTCGGCTTCTTTTACACCCGAGCTCGCCCTTGACCTAAGCCACACAGCCCCAGGACAGGCCTCACGCTGGTTTGGTGGCCTGGGGAGAGGTTCTGTATGTGAGCAGAGCCCAGAAAGCACCAAGGGTAACACAGAGAAGCCTCACCTCCTGGATAAACAGATCTAAGAAACCTGCAGTCAAACGCCTTACAGTGATGCCAACAGCCAGACTCCAGTTCTGCTGACAGAACACCACCCTCCTTCAAGATTCCAGCCACTTGGAGCAGGAGAAAATTCCTTCTTAAAACAAGATTTGGTGGTTTGCTGAGCCCAGTGTCACATAAGTGGCTAAGAAAACTTTCTGTAAAGCACTGATCAAACCAGTCAGAGTACCACATCTCTGGTCCTCGGAAGTTTCTGATGGTTTAAAATCACATCAGAAACCCACCACAATTTACTTAGCCAATGTGCATGAAGGGAATCAACTTCTGAAAGAAAAACCTGAGCCAAGAACTAACTATGACCAGCATCTTCAAACAGATCTCCAGTTACGTGCCTGCTGTTCTCCCTGACAGGAAGGAAAGGAGGTGCAGACAAATACACAACTTGTCCCATCTCATAGAACAGCTCAGATGAGCCAAAACCACAGAAAGATCAGATATTCCTTATGAACAGCCCGGAACAGGACAGCTCTCCCACGAGCAATCACTCAGAAATTTAAAGTATCCTCACTGTTAGAAAACTGAACTTGCGCGGTACCAACGTTTAGTCTCAGCACCTACAAAGACTGCTGCTGCGGGCTTTGTCAGAAAGAAATAATTCTTCACTCTTAAGCCTCTTCTCCACCATGCAAGCAGCTATCCACAACAGTCTCTCTGATAAGCTGATTAAGCCGAGCACCTTTAAGCACTGCTCTCTGGATTCTGCATCATGCTTACGGCCTCCCCGAGCTCTCTCCACCCCTGCCCCACTTTCTCGGCAGCAGGGTTACCGAAGCTTTGTGTAGTATTTCAGCAGTTTTCATCACTGCACACGTCCAGCTAAAACTGCACTACTCACCCTGCCAGCTCCTCCTCTTGCTACACGCCCGCAGACCACCGGCACCTACCAGCAGTGCACTGGACCACAACCAGTAACCTCCAGCTTCTTCCTTACCAGCGGGGATCTCAATATTGCCATCTGCAGTGCCAGTAACAATACTGAACAGCACTGGGCAAAGACCTAATCCCAAACAGAATCCCCCTTCAAAAACACCCGCCTGCTGATGCTTCAGTCTGGGCAGCGAGGTTTTGTGACCTGCTGGTAAGTGGCTTTAAGTCTACCCACTGTGCCCTACTACCTTAAAAAGACAAACAATAGAGAATCAACTAAAATGTCAGACAACTATAAAATGTGTCTATTAATCAAATAGATCCATAAATCACACCAAAAAATAAGAAATTCAACAGAATCTCACACTGTAAATAAGCTGAGAACAGCTTCGTTGCAATCTATCAGAAGCACTAGTATTATCATCGTGAACTTTGCCATTTTTCCGAAGCTCCTGTTGCATCACATTACACGTGGGCATTGGGAGACATGAGTCCAAGAGCCTGCTGCGGAGCGCCCCGCGTGACCCTCGGCTCGTCAGCCAGTCCCGGGGGGCTGGAGCTGCTCCTTCAGAGCCCTTGAGAAAAGAGCTCAGGGGGAGATGGACACACTGATGCTACAGCCACAGAAGCCAGACGGCACATCGGCAGAGCCACTAAAACGTTGCCAGTGTCACTAAGAGTACTGACTTAGCAGAAGGTCCCTGGGAAGGTACAGCGTTGGCCCTGAACCTAGTCCTGGGGTGGTGGGACACAGGCCGGGCAGCACCGCCCCCGGGACTCAAAGCAGCAGCAGAACTGAGGGCCCGGCCCCACGCCCCGACTCACCACAGTGATCAACGGCCTCTGAACTCGCAGGGCCACCGGCTGTACCACGTCCAGGACCGAGAACGGCCAGGAGCTGGAAGGGAGGAGCGCAGCAGTGAGTGCCCCAGCCGCACAGCGCGAGGCCGGCGCAATCGCCCCCCCAGTACCTGAAGCGGAGCAGGCCGGCCCGGCCGTTGGTGGCAGCCTCCTCTGGGAACAGCAGCAGCGGGGGGTTTCCCCGGTGGGATGAATACACCTTGAGGGAATCCACCAGCTCCGCGCGGCTGCCTGTCACTCCCAGCTCCATGAATCCCCGCGACCAGCAGATGAAGCCAGGGGCACCGTTCAGTGCCGGCTGTGAGGGAAAGCAAGAGTGAGGGAGAGTTGCTGTCCTGCCCCTCCAGAGCACAGCGGGAGACAAAGTTCCTACTTCTCAGCAAAAATCCCTCTGGGGGTGGAGGGGGCAACCTGCAGGATAAAAGCACTAGTAGCAGAGAATGTGTTATTGCCAGTCTTCAGTAGCTGCTCTGGCCCCAGTTCCATAGGAATTTGATTCCTAATCTTCAGTTCAGACTGTCCCACCTGCCAGAAAAATGAACCACCCCCCTGCTCTGGGTGACAACCATGTTTCCACATGTTCCCCCCAGTTAGTTCCTAACACACTTGGCAAAGGACACACTACTTCTCCACAAGTTGCTTTTCTCCAGGTAAGGAGCAGAGCTACCGCTAGTCAGGATACAGAACCAACCAATTCAATCCCTGGCACGTTCAGTCTGTTGATTCCAGAACTCCAGACATAAGGAATTTCACAAGCGTCCAGGGAAAGTTACACAACCACCAGCCCAGCAGAATAACCAGCGCACGCCTGCCCTGCCACACCACTCCGCCCCACACTCTGCACTGTCCACACACACAGAACTGGCACCTAATGCTGTATGAAAACCCCACAGCCAACCCTGCTTCTGACATCACCTATTTGAAAGGCCAAAAAAAGATGCAAATGCTAGGATATGCCCACTCTCTCTCTCAATAAAATCAATACCCACTGCAACATTTCCTGTTCCTCCTCACCCTGTTTCATTTTTTCACGCAGAGCCTAAGAGCAGGACTCTGAACCGCAGAAAAAAATTCAAGGCTTGTGCAATCCTGGGTTAACAAATGCGAATTGAAGATGACCATGGCAATACCTCAGTTCTGGAAGAGCTCTCTATGTACTTCTCTTGGAAAGAGGCGCTTCCAGACCGGCCACGCTCGGCTCCGAGCTACTCACCGTATTACATGAGGTCAGAAGGTTGATGACGTTGTGATCAAATTGTGTCACGTGGTTGGCAATATACACCCTCACATTGACATCACGAAGCCGGGGATCATTCTGCCGCACAAATAAGCCCAGCACTGAGCACATCACACGTACGATAAACCTGGGTGGGGGGAAAGCGGTTTCCTCAAGCCCTGCAGTCTGAGCTGTTGCTGGCTGACACATCCAACAGAGCGAACAGAAACCCGGGAATTCGTGGGCCTTAACAAAGGACACTGGTACAAAACGGAAACGACATGGCAGATGTCTGGGACAGGAGCTTTGGACTGCAGGCTGCGGAGCGGTGGCTGCAGCATGAAATACAGGGCAGCAAGCCACCATAGAATTTCTTAGCAGGGTACCCAGCTGATCCAAGTGTTTCAGATCAGGCTTTGAGCACTCCAGAGGCAACTGCCAGCTTCGGTCTTGGCAGAGAAAGGACCTTCGTGTGTCCTGGGAACAAAAAGTCCTGAGAGCACGGCTCCCCATAAACCTCGGCATGCGACAAGCCTCCATGGCTACAGACCCCAAACTAGAGACCCCACGCTGCCCCCCAACAGTGTGTGCACACCCCACTCCCCCGGGGAACACTGTGCCCTGGGGACTGCCAAGCTCACGCACCGTCGCAGCACACTGTCAGGCAGGGCGCAGCTGACCAGAAAAACATGTACGCCGATGAAGAGACGCAGGATGAGCAGGCAGAGCCCCACGGGCGCGTAGAGCAGCAGGGCCAGAAGCAGGAACCCATCGGTCGGAAACCTGTAGAACCAGAGAGCACCAGAGTGCGGCTGGGACACACGGGACGGGCGATGGCCAGCTGCCTGCCTGGGCCCTCCCAGGGACCACCCTGCGTCCCCCGCTGTGTCACCTCCAGGGCCTCCCCAACCAGACACCCAGCCCATCCCCAGCCTCCCCGCGGGCGTCCGGGGCACATCCTGGACTCTCACTGCTCCCCGTCCGGTACAGCCCGACCTTCTCCACGGAGCCCTCGTGGGACACCCCTTCCCGCAGCGGGCCCCCGGGGACTCCCCCCAGGGACAGGCCGGCTTCCTGCGCTGGCGTCCCCCGGCACACCCCGATCCCCCGGGCCTCCGCCGGCAGCCCGCCGCCCCGAAACGCGGAGAGCACCACGCGCGCCCCGCGGCTCTCACCGGTGCGAATCGAAGAGCCGCTCGGGGCCCGGGGCCGCAGGAGGCTCCATTCCCGCCGCACCCGGTGCCTCAGG